CAGTGTCCGGGCCAAACGCGGTATTGATGTCAGCGATGGAATTGGCTGCCTTCTTCTTGATTCGGAAGTCATAAAGAAGAAGCAGGCGAACTTGCTCCTTAGTAAGAGGGTAGGGCTGGTTCATGGCTGGAGAGCACCAGGGCTGTAATAATATACGGTTGTATGCCGAAGGACACAACCTACTTATAAACACACGCAGAACATTCTAGCATGCTCTGGAAAAAAATTGTACTGGATATTCAAGAAATTCCGAGAACTTTCTTTCCAATCAGATACCATGTGTTATATAGGAGAACAATCAGAAATCATATTCAAGTATAGCCTGCATAGTACTTTTCTTTATGAAATGCTGCTCCTACCTGTGTGATGTGTTGAGGTCTATAGGCCATATGCATTGATTGACATGGAGGTTTATTCACTTTCACCTCTCCAGGTTACATGCTTTTCTTCTGTTCTATTTGCTTGCCATAAGGTTGGTGTGAAGTCAAGGGAATTTTGAATTGAATGTGAATGTAAGGAGATTTTAAATATTTCTGACTTAAAAACTGTCCACCCTAATACAGGTGAAAATTGGAGCTACAAGAACAAATCGGAACAATTTCCAATAATTGCTAGGTTTTTTTGCTATCCCCCAGTTTTTTTTTTTTTCCTGGGCAAAGACACATCCTGCAATTAATCTTCATGAAATAATTAAATACCATAAGTATCTGTATGTCAGATTTTAATAGGCTGGCTGTTTTCTTTCTAGATTCATTTAAGTCTTCTCAGTGGAAAATTAACTATAAAAACATGGAGTCAGTATGGAGACATGATTGCATGTTTTTCACCTTTTACTCTTAGATCAATGTACCTTTTCCAGCCATACAATCCATATTTTCTATTGTGTCTTGTGAAGTACACTGAAGGGAATAGACATGAAGTCATTTGAGCTTGGTTAGAAAATGTGACATTTGTTGACAGGGATAAATCCAGAGACAAAGGAGCGAACTGTGGGGTTCCGTTTGGCATCCTACAAGGAAGGTGAAACAGGAGTTGGCCCCATAGACCATCTTGTTCATTTGCCTGACAAGATGAAGAAGGTAGTTCAGGTAAGAATCTTTGCATTTTGACCTTATTCAGTTTCCATTGCATTCATCTCTTGATTAAATATAATTTAAGATGATTCCTTACAGATGTTTCAAGACTTTGTTAGGGGAAGTGCTCTGGAGCCATATGACCCATCGACACACTCGGGAACATGGAGGCAGCTCACAGTGCGTACAACAGAAGGCCAGGACCTCATGGCTGTCATTGTTATTCACCCACAGAAGATGACAGCTGATGAACTTCAGTCCCTCAAGGATAACATCAAGGATTTCTTTACCAATGGAGATGGGAAAGATCTTGGCATCACCTCCCTCTACTTTCAAGCTTTTGGCCAATTGTGAGCTCTTCCACTTTATTCAAGAAAACAATATCTATTCATACAGAATTTATTGAGAGGAATAATTTGTATTTAGTTAATTTGCAGATGCACATTATAAAAGAAAACAGACAAAGAAAAAGAAAAATTCAAGAAGAAAATGTGTAATATTGAAGCATGTTACTTAATCCTTTACCTGCCATTAATGTATAAATGCATTAGCAAAAGAAATGCCCTTACTACTATTTACTTGTGCATGTTTAAGAATTTCCTGCTACCATCGCATCTACACAATTGATGTTAGACTTCAAGTGAATTGATCTGCCACCTATTGAGTATTTTGCAGTTTTTTGTGCCACCTTCAGAAAAAACTTGAACATTTTATAGATAATTTGAGTCCTATGCAAAAGTTAAAGGGTTAAACAGTAGGGCAGGAATTTCAGTTGAAAGTTGGGAAGTTGGACTTGAATCAGGCCACAATTTTTTTTTTTTTTTTTAACCCTGATCAATCATACCCATGAGCACCATTTCAGCATTGTGGCAGGATAAACTCCTGTTATGGAAAGTTACTGTAGACAGCTGTATCTGTTCATGACAGATGGCTAAGTTATGTCAATCTTTCTGGTAAGAAGTGCTTTGATGACCCATTTAGAATTTGAAAATGATTGATGATATCCAGGGATACCATTTGGTCTTCCTTCTGCTTAATATTTCTGTGCCAACCATGTTTTCCTGAAGCCACTTCTGTGGAGGAGGAAATCAGCTCACACTGGACAACACCCTTACCATATTTAGGCTTGATGCTCTCTTTGGTTGCTTGACACATCTTCCAAGTGTCCCCATATGTCCTCTGTATGGGGATCACCACAGCTAGTGCTGCTTTGTGAGCATCCTTGCTGTCGCAAATGAATAATTATGCCAAGTGACTTTGCCTAATCTTAATGGAGGAGTTCGGATTACCTTCTTCCTTATTGACAAAACCCAATTCCACTGTAAATAATCCAATTTCCACTCTTTATAAGGAAGGACAACTGCTTTCAAGTAGTGAACTTGATGTCTCATTCATATAGGGTATGTGCCTAAAATAGGGTATGTACCTAGCAGCCTGAAAATAGGTCAGTATATAGTGTAGTGGAAGTTAGAACTGATGGTTAAATTGGACAGGTGTTTGAAGAACAACGTCTTGGGGTAAGCCACCTGACATTTGTATATGTACCACATATGCATCTAGCTTGATGAAAAACATTGAGGCTTGTGTGCACTGGTGGAATTTTATGTAGGTAGTGCATTTCATTGTTAAGAATTATGGAAATTGGGGTATTTTTTGCAGGGAATCTGGTGTGAGTCCCAATTTTGAACTATTGAATGGAGAATCTCACATCACAGAGACCCTAGGAGAACTCAAGATCCGCATCTCCCCACATGACTTCTTTCAGGTGGGTGGAAATGTCTCAAGTTCATGCCTCCATCCTTTGAGTTGCAGACGGAGGTTTCAGAAGATGAACTGTATAGAGTAAATTCAGTTTTGTCGATACTGACCTCCAAGAGAAGTAGATGAACCTCAGAGAACAGCAGTCAGGGTGGTTATCTCCCCTTTCTGCTATTTCTGAAGGTTGCCAAATTGGGGCTAGCTCCTTCATAGTGTGCTTATTTCAATTTTCTGAATTACTGCGATGAGAATAGAATACTACTGCTGCTGTCAAGAGGGCTTTCATGAAGTTATGATTCATGGGAGACAGAGGTCAGATTTTAAAAAGTTCTAATTTTGCATTTTACTTGGTGCCGAAATTAAAGATGTACCCCAATTGTAATGGTGTGTTAGTTACTTTTAGAAGAAAGAAGAGGCAACTTATTCAGAGGTTACATCATCACAAGAATTTGGGAAATCATAAGATTCAGAAAGTTCAAGTGGAATGGTGTGAGAATGTGGGTGTTGGATCTTTCGATCAGAAACCATGGAACTTGTTCCTTAGTATCAGGTCTTAGACTCATGAACTTAACTATTATCATAAGTGGGTTCTACAGAATATAAAGGTTTTACTGATTGATAATATCTGTAACAATAAGGACTTAAGCCATAGGAATCACTGGTAGATGATGATGAAGAAGAAGAGAAAGACACAGTTTAACCCTTCGAGGACTGAGTTTTTTTTAACCCTTCAGGAGTATGGATGTACCTGTACGTTCATAGACCTCAAAGGGTTAAAAAGGGCTGATCACTGTTTCCAAATAAAGAAATCAGAGGGAGCAGCCACAACAACTGGGCTACAGCATATTTCTGAACCTCAAGAATTGGAACATTTCAGGCTTTTGTCAGTTTTATGAATGTTGGTATTAATTTGAATTATGCACTCTCATCTTGGTAGTGAAGGTTATGAATTAATGTCACATAAATGCCTCATTGACTAGATTTACATGCACTGCACTATGGACTTAGAAAGGTACCTCTTTGAAGTGGCATCCATGGGCATGGCGCTGAAATGGCTAATCAAAAGTGAATGCATAGGCCTGACAGGTAAAAAAAAAAAGCATTTCCTCCGAGGCCTAGACATGTCAAAGGTCAGACAAGGCATTAAGACACACACAGAATGGACAGGGACATGTCAAAAAGTACAGGGAAGATACAGCTGTCACAAGCCCATATATGCAGCCAATCAATGTTGTCCTTACCATAATTGCAAGCATACATGTTACTTCATCACACTATAGTACCTGAGGTGAGGTAAAAATGAAGGGAAAATTCTGGGTTGGCAGTTCTTGACATAGGGCTCCTCATTGCTTCAAGTCTTTCTACATCCCTCTTGGATTCCAGGGACAATGGACAATAAGCAGAAAATTAGCTGGAGATGACATCCAGTGCCTTGCACATCAGACATAGTTCCTCAAAAATCATATTGAAGAGCAGCTTTCTAATTGAATGATGGGTGGATGCATGCAATATAACTTAAGTTGCAGCCTGTATCCCATCTTGTCTGGCTGTGTCTGAAACTTTTGCTTTTTTCTTTATTATTATTTTCTCTCTCCCTCTATTCCAGACCCACTTCTATGTTGACTAATATACTGTTAGTAATAATGGCCTTGTTACCCAACCTTGATGACAGGATCAGGAAAAACCCCATTTTTTTTATACAGGGTGTCCCAAAAGGTATTGAAACATTTCAAAAATTAATATCTTACTAAGTTATGCCTCAAAGAAAATGATGAAAACAGTAAAAAAAAACAGAAAAGTGCAACTCAAACATTTTTCAACCTGCTATTGCAATTCCACATTGGCATTATTTGTGGCTCTGTAGACATCCAAACAATGTTCAAGCTCTTACCCCAACTTACGCGGAGTGTCATGTATAGTCTGGATAGCTGCAACAATTCTCTTCTTCAGATCAGATTGAAGATTGTCAACTTTTCTTCAATGTCCTCAACATAGCCCCACCAGAAAAAAAAAGAAATCCAAGAGGCACAATAAAAGTCTAATTTTCTAAGATGTTACAACTCCATATTTTAGCAAGCTAAGACATGGGGAAAAAACCCAGATCTGTGGATTGGACAAAGCAGGTTCATTCCATGGCCATCAAGATCACTTGAACTAACCCTAGAGGACATTTTCTAGTGGGCTATGTCAAGGACATTGCTTACTGGAGAAAAGTAGACAATCGATCAAGATCCAAAGAACAGAAACATCCGAGCTATCATTATATTTATTACTAACACTCTGCAAAAAGGTGTGGTAAGAGCTTGAACATCACTCAGACATCTCCAGAATAACAAATGTTTCCCATGTGGAATATCAATAGCAGGTTGAAAAATGTTAGAGATGCTCTTCATTTTACTGTTTTAATCATTTTATTTGAGGCATAATTTAGAGAGATATTAATTTTTGAAAATTTCCATACCTTTTGGGACACCCTGTATGAGTCATTCTTTTTTGCTTTTCTTGTTCATGTGTTTGTTCTAGTTGTGATGAAAATCAAAAGTCCGGCTTGTTTTTTTTTTAATACCAGGTGAATACAAAAGCAGCTGAAATTCTTTATTCAGCTATAGCAGATCTAGCTGAGGCTGACACAGAGACCACTCTTCTGGATATCTGCTGTGGGACTGGAAGCATAGGTCTCTTCGTGTCACAGGTTGGTTCTAGTAATTTCACAAAGTAGAAATTGGAAAGGCTAATGGAGTTTCCATATAATTATTAACTTAGATGCAGGTCACATTGGGATCATCGCATGGTATTTTTTATTTTCGTAGTATTGTGGTCAGGTGTTGGGTGTGGAGATGGTGGAGAGGGCTGTTGAAGATGCAACAATGAATGCATGCCAAAATAACATCACCAATGCCAATTTCTATGCTGGGAAAGCAGAGCTTCTCCTTTCAAACCTTGTTGCTAAGGCCCTGTTCAAAGAAAAGATTGTTGCTGTTCTTGACCCACCTCGTGGAGGCCTCCGTAAGTTTACTCTGATGCTTTAGTTTATCTCCAGTAAAAGGGAAGTTTAAATTGAAATTCATTCACATTGAAATCCATACAAGTGAATTGTTTCTTGAATACATATAGGGAAAAATTGATTTAGAAAGATTCTATTATTAGAAAACAGTGCATAATGTGTAAAATAGGTGATACAAAAGAACTTCAGGCAAGTCAATCAGATTCATGCAATTGTGTGGTAGGAGGTGATGAGCTTCATTCTGCCTCTCACTTCACAATCACATGAATCTGACTAATCCATCTAAGTTCTTCTGTATCACCTATTTTTCACATCATCCTACCAATGATATCTGAAAATATTAAGAAAAGAACAAGAATTAGCATGGTGTGGATGAGTTTTGCCTATCATTTCTGGTTTAGCCTATGGAGAGGGGGGAGGGAGGAAATGGTTATGATCCACTATGTACCATTTATTGAATGTGCAAATTAAATATCCTCATAATGACTTCTTGCCAATTTCAATTACTTGTGTTTATGTTTTGCAATTTTAAGTCCTTTTTTGCAAATTAGGAAAGTGATTTCCTAAATGATGATTTATTAAATGAAAGTAAAAATGGAACTTATAACTACTCAAACTAAATCCAAGATGACTGGCAAAGATCTCTAATGTGACATATTTTGGACAGGTATTATGAGGGTATTGGAAGGGCTCTAAGAAAGGAAAGCATGTAGAAATGTTGCCTGTGATGCATAGATGCAAAGCTTTGAGCACTTATAAATTGTTGCCTGGAGTTCAAAGCAAGATTAGATGGTTTTGTAAGATGGATCGACTGCATGAAGCATATTAACAAATGCCATTGTGACTTCAGGTTTGAGTGTTTGCATGATTGCCTTGCTTAAAATGTACAGATAAATGCATGAATCAATATTGGCAGAGACCAAGACGATGGGGGTGTTGCGGAAGACAGATGGGATTAAGCGCCTCATCTATGTGTCTTGTGATGGTAAAGCAGCAATGAGGAACTTTTTGGACCTTGGTCGTCCATTCTCCAACACCCTCCAGGGCCCACCATTCATTCCAGTCAAGTGCATCCCTGTTGATCTCTTTCCACACACATCCCACGTGGAGCTGGTGATCTTGTTTGAGCGCTTCGACCCAGCCCTCTTTCCTCGAGAGCCTTTGCCTAAACCTGGCTCTGGGTCTGTCCTCATGATAATCATTTTCTGCTACCTCTATATCTCTCATGTTCAGTAATGTTGATCACCATGTATAATTTGATAATTATTACAATTAGAAAAGAAAGCTTTCCAGTGATAAGACCAACTGGAATAGAATTTTATTATCACAGAGACATTTCTGATACCAATTACAGTCACATGGTATAAATATGTTTGTGCTAAAGATATGATGATATCAAGAAAATATATATTATTCATGTTAAAAAATGGAATAAAAAGCATAATGCTTTCATTCCCTTTTGAATACCCAGATTCAACTGGCTCTATTGTAGAATCAGCCATGGAATGAAAGCAAGTGAAAGATAAGCAGAATCTTGTACTACCATTGTTGAATAAATTTTAATGCAATATCTCAAGTTCATTGAGAACATTTTAGCCTCTGGACAATGCATGTTTCTTGAAAATATCCCCAGTTTTAACTAGGGCTGTCACAATAGCAGTTTTCCAAACATCAATGCATCGACCTGAACTATTGACGCATTGGGGGGAAAGGGGGTGTGTGCCTGAGGATTCTATCTATCCTTGCCGCGATCGGATGGAAGTTTGTCTTCCATCATTACTTGCCTCGATCGGAGCATGGACCGTATCCATCTTCCACAATCGCAAGCTTGTGATCAGGAGGTGTGGGGGGAATGCAAAGAGTAATGAAACCATGCCTCTAACTATCAAAGTTTTGTTATTCATTCGTTGATGGATGCATCAGGACAACCTAATTTTTTCTTATTGCCAGAGAATTGGCTGCCAAGCCTGTTCACATAATTTATTTCTTACTTTTCTTCATTCTACATGGTCTTTGGACATTGGCACTGGCAGATAGGAAACCTGCCAATGGTACTATACCGGCAGTTGCTGAAACATTGGTACAGCCCTAGTATAAGCAACATCCATGTAAAAAAATTCATTTTGAGTTCACGTTAAGTAAAGAGATAAAATTCCCTAGGGGAAGTTAAAAATTAAGAAAGTTAAGCCTGCATACTAAAGAGAAAGACAGAAATATAGAGAAGGGATTAACCAATGTACGTTTTGAAATCAAGGGGGTATAAGAACAGTCCACTTTTGCAGCATGCACCTGATGAGATTGAGCTAAAGACTGAAACAGAAGAGAAAAAAATATTCTCAGTCTTCCCTCCCTCTCCTTTCCCACTTCCTGTCTCCAATCAGACACTTTTTTTTTTCTTCCCATCTTTCATATAGTCAGTCCCAGCATTTGCAGAATTTGATTGTGATAAGAAATTGCAAGCCCATGTGGGTCATGCCACCTCCTCCTTCTGCTGCCCAGATGGACTGTATTGTACTGTACTTGCCTTAATCCAATGGGACATTTATCCTTTAAAATCTTTTGCTGATACATCGCGATGAGCGAAAAAACTATCAATACCCCCAACCATCAATAGAGGTATCGATGCGTAGATCTATCGTGACAGCCCTAGTTATAACAGAGGTAAACCAAAGTAACCAAATGTGTTGCAGAATATTACATTTTCATTTTTCATTGACTTGAACTGTACAGTTGATGCAGTACATGAATACAAGGTGGCCCTAAAGCCTGGCTCAGTATTTGGTGGAATGTAACTCACAAGCCACAGAAGATTAACTCAAATTTCAAAAGAGAGGTCCTACACATGAGAAGCATGATGGGAAACCATAGACATAATGATGGTGCTGCTACATCAATTGCTCAATATAGCCTCCTTGTTATTCTATGATAGCACCATGTATGGGAGGTCAGAAATTGTTGCTTGCAACCTAAGGAACAGGCATTATAATATCAGGAAGAGAGTGCACTTCCTACTGTATTGCTTCCTTGAGATCTGGAAGCATCATGGGTTTTTTCCATACACACATTGGGAAGCTCTATAATCTATAAACCATACAGGTGATTGATTATTGATGAATGGAAAGCCCCATAACCAATAAGTCAAACCACTCCATGGCTGTTTTTTCATGCCATCATGCTTCTCATGAATTTCACATCTCTCCCTCCTGTAGTTTTGAGTCTACGTCAATGAAACATGAAGATCTGAGACCAAGAGTAACTTTAGCTTCCACTCTATGGGTTCAATGTCAGGGAGTCTTTTCCTTGTCATACTCAGTGTTTAATTTTTCCACTTAGAACTATTCTGTTAACTACCCCATAACCTTGCGTTTCTTTGAATTCATGCAAAAGATTATGCTCCCATTAGTTGGCTCTATGAGTCTAAGATTGTATACTTTGGGGGCAGAGCAATCCATATTGGCTCATAATTGTGAATGTTAAAAAACTTGATTTCAATGTGATCAAATTCATTGTTCCCTTTGACAAGCAATAGAAGTACACTCAGTTTTTTTTAGCATTCAAATTGAAAGAGAGTTACTTGAATCTCTATGGCCTGGCTTGTGTTATCCTATTATTTCAAATTTGGAACTGATTCTGTATGATTTGAAGAAGTTATGGGTATTGAGTGACAAAGTCCATAGACTACCAAGTTATGGAAATTTCACACTTTTACTAACGAAAGGACTACTTACTTTTTCACAGGTATGTGGACTCAGACGATGAAGAGGACCACTCCCAGCAAAGCCGTGGTGGAAGGCGGGGTCGGCGAGGAATGGGAAGTCCCTTCCCACAGGGGCGAGGTCGAGGTCAAAGTCAGAGCCCAGGTCTAGGTCGCGGTCGCGGTCGAGGTTGGGGCCCGGGAGGAGGAGGAGGTGGTCGTGGTCGGGATCCTCATTATGTGGAAGTCCTCACACAAGCCCTCATGATGATTGGTCAGAACATGTCTCGGCCAGGGAGGGGGAGAGGAATGGGAATGGAACGGGGAAGGGGCATGGGGTTTGGAAGAGGAAGTGGACCAGTCTTTGGAAGAGGGAGTGGACCAGGCTTTGGAAGGGGAAGTGGAACAGGATTTGGAAGGGGGGGTAGATCAGGGTTTGGCAGAGAAGGTGGGACAAGATTTGGAAGAGGAAGTGGAACAGACTTGGGAAGAGGAAGGGGAAGTGGGAGAGGATTCCATCGCACCAGCTGGCCTCCCATGTTTGACGAGGAACCCGAGGATCCTTATGATTACGACTGGGGTCTCTATGGGGCTGAAGCTGCTGCATCTGAGAGATCCAGGTACCTGTACATGGTTGAAGACTTTCTATTCACATCTCACCCTCTTGTAAAATGCTGTGGTGGCTTAGTGACTTAACATTGAATATCATGCACCTGTGAATAAAGGTGGTATAGTGAACTAATCCTCATATGAAAGCATCGCTGCCAGCTATACATTCCATAGTCATGGACATTGTGACTTCTTTTGATAGCATTATGTTTTCTTTGGCTTGTTTCATTGGTACTCATTGGTACATCAGATAATGTGCTGTCTTGGGAAGCAAGATCATGGGATCAAGTGCTTGATCATGGTCAGCTGTTTCTTACAACCCCCAAAGACCTGGATGGCATGTATGCATACTAAAATCTATGGGGTTTATTTTTTCTGTCTGAGGAGCTTCAGATTCTTTTTCTCATTCAGCTGATGTGACATTATGGTTCTGGTGCTGTTAAATGTTGTTTTATATTTTAATTCCATAAGGTAAAACCACCAATGTTCGGACATTTAAACTGGGATGAGATTGTAATTCGCTCGTCACGCCTTAGAGGTACAACCCAGATACTTCATTTTTTGCATCCGGCAGCACAATATGAGTAGGTATGAGTGTGATAAAGGTAATGACCGTCGAAGCCAATAATTCCAATAATTCCAATGACGTGGGTGTCCGAACTTAGATGCGAAAAAATGAAGTTCGAACACACCAAAAGTAAGGCGGAGATCTGCTCATGGCATGCATATTCTCTTATAGCAGTGCTCTACGTTTCCTAGTTTCCTGTGGTATAAGAATTGATCACAGAATAAACAATACCGCATAGGAAGCGTTTCTCAAGTAAGTTCATACATTTCCGTACATTTTCTTGAATTTCTCCTGTCCACAACATTAATTTCTGCCCAATATTTCGAAATCGTGCTTAACGATCGTGGCCACTGCAAGTCTTTCGCTCGGTAACATGGTCATCTTGGGTTAAGAAGTACTCTCTGATGTCGATCTCGTGAATGCGTATTAATTAACAATAAACAGTGTCCGAACTTGGGTACTGTCGTTTTACTTATGTGGTTTTACCCCAACTACTTGAGTTTTCTCTGTTGCGTGACACCCAATAGTGTGAAGTCACGAGCTCAGTAAAAGTAATTGACAGTCCACAAATTCTGAAAAGGATCATTATTCTAATGGGGTTGATTTCCGTTGGAATTTTTTTTTTTTTCTTAGCATCAAGCTTAGTTTATTCCCGTCGACTTGCTCCATTTTCCACCACGTTACCTTCTCTCCAAAGCAATAGTGTGACCCCCTGAAGGTCCATCAATGCTAAAGTTTTCAGTTGTCAATATGCTTGTACTTTATATGTAGGTATGAGGATTACGTGGACTTCACGACAGACGACTATCCCATGCCCTCATATGGAATGAGGCAAGAAGAACAATCCAGGCCTCTGCCTCTTATGAGACCTAGAAGAGGGCTGTTAGGCTCGCGGCCACCACAGCCGCAGGAGAGGCCCATGAGGTCACGACCCGAGATGGATTCCCCTTATCCGCGTCCCAGAGCCCGCTCTTCTATGACCTCCTTCCGAGACGACTTCGGCTATTCACGGGAATATCGATACTCTCCACCTCCAAGTGGACGTGGCGCTTTCTCAGGTATGTCCCAAAATCGTTGCAATCAAATTTTTTTTCATATGTACATCCTGTTGCAGAGTGTCTTTTTGTATTTTCCAGGTATGCGTAGTTATTCTGGTGGGTATCAGTCTCATTTCTGAAGACCCCACCCCCCAAGTCACATCGATTGCCATGAGAATATTGTATAAATTGGGTTGGAATACAAATGGGAATATGCACTTTTGAATATCTGTACTTGAATGGAATACAAATTTTCGGGCACCAGTGTCTGACTTTACTTGATCCCTCTACTGTTGTGAACATGTTACGCTGAACCACATATAGCTTGAAACAAGAAATCTTGGCAGTTAATCATTCGCACTTTGTACAGCATTATCTCAGGCGGTTATATACACTTGTATGTAAGAGCCACTTGGTTATGAAACGAGGATGCTCAACCGACAATATATATATTTTTTGCGAAAGCGTGACGTTATCCTGAGCCAAAACTTTTGTAGAACGTGAGCCCAGAATAATTGAAGGGCTGAAATTTAACGTGGTCTATCTGCAAAAAATTTCCGAAAATAAGTTTAGTTGGTTTAATGCTCATAGAACCTTGTTCCTTTCGTAGAAAATTAGTTTATTATTATAATATAAAAGATGAAGTGATTATCGAGATATACTTTCACCCCTTCAATTATGAATGTAAATATGGAAAGAAGAAGCTACCGAGGGAAATGCCTTAAAAACTGGCGGTGATCGGTGGGAAATTCGTCCGAGAGTGTTGCAAAGGTGAATGCGCAAGTGCGAGTAAGCGGAAGCCCAAATGTACCACCAGTCTACGGGAGAGGCCTGAGCAAATGCATGGCGGTAACTTCAGTTGAAGTAACCGGTGCTGACAACTCTTGGCGCTTCCCTCACCTGGTAGGACATCCACGTGAGTCGACATGCTTTCTAGTCCAGTTGTGCCCTTGTCGATGCAGACGGAAAAGGCCCACTAAACCTTCTAACCGGGATCCATATGGGTCCGAGTGAAAAACCGTAATGCGATGGAGCAACAGGGAACACTCCCAACTTTAATGGAGAGGGGACGCTTCGGTGGTGCAAAGCCTTCAGGGAACGCAAGATCTTGTCCAAAAAGAATCAAAGGGGGAAAGATGAATGCCAAAACGGGGGAGCAATAAAAGTACTAGCAAATTTGTGAAATTAAAAAGCAAATCAGGAGGTTTTTTTTAAGATAAGAAAAGAAAATATAAGACTTAAGAAAAGTAAAAAAGATATAAAGCGACCCACGAACGGAGATCACCCCAAAACGACACCAGGTGAAAGAATGAATGAGAAAGGGAAAAGGAGAGGGGGAGGGGGAGTGGGTAAGGAGGGTCACAGGGAACTCGGGACCGGTTTCAACTTTTTCACAAGGTTTCGCGTTTTCTTCTATAGGTCGGCTCATTTATCAGGTAGGCTTTAGGGCGTTTGAGTTATTTCAGGGTGTTTGAGTCTGATTTCGTATGTAGTATGCCAGACTCTTTACTCTCCTCCGATTCGAACAGGTTCTCAAATCCATCAGGTTTCTCTCTAGCTAGTTTTGCCTCGCACTTTTACGATTGGATTGCTCCTGCTTTCCATGGTGTGTCTGCACTCATCCTGAAGTTTTGCACACCGGAGCTCTGCAGGCGATCTCCGTGTCGATTGGGCTGCTTCCATGTGCAAATTTGCTGAACTTTCACATCCGCTATCCCTTTCGATAATTGCCAATAGCAATCGACACGCGACTCGACGGTCTTGAAGGGTACGTGGGCGTCGAGAAGGATCAGAATTCACGAGGTCCACATCCGGTTGTGAGGAAATTCTCCCGTCACGGGATCATCACGTTACGACCTGCTTACGTGATTGCAATCGTGAATGTCAAAGTGCAAGGCTCCTCACGCGTTCGTGCCACACTGACCCCTCTATTTCGAGGCTCCGTAGAATTCTCGATAAATCGGAATTTTGCCCCGTTAACGCGAGAACGGATTGGAATGATGCAGATGAATGGCTCGGTTGGTACCGAGCGTAACGGAGTCTCAGTTCCTCGTGCAAGCCCCAGCCACTGAGCTAAGAAATAGAACTGGAGATGGCGCACAATACAATGGTTTTGGGGTAATTGGAAGCCATCTTAGTTGGGTCCGTGGTGGCTCTTCTCCATTCACTACAATGGGATTTTCATAATTTCCCATCCCAGTTTTCTTGCTGTCGTGATCATTATGACAGGCAGTCATGGTACTGGAGGCCTAATAATTCTGGGGNGTGATCATTATGACAGGCAGTCATGGTACTGGAGGCCTAATAATTCTGGGGGAGTATCATAGGGCTGATAAGGTAATGTCGGAACTCTTCTTTCATGTGGGCGAGTCTCCTATTTCTCGAGTGGGCCTCCAAGTTTCAGGCCTGCCTTTGCTGAGATTGCTGGGCCTACTAAGGCGATAACGTTACGCCGCCCTTGCATAATCACAGTCGACATATTTTACAGCAAGTCTAAGGCGTAAAGTCAAACGAACTTCGAGTGACCGTTCAAAGGTAAACATAGGCTAAAGGAAACGAAGGGCGACCACGAGGTGCATGGTAGAGGTATTGGCAGGTCATGCTTCCGTATTCAGAAGGGCTGCTCCAGTGTTCCCGCGGTACCTGCTCCATCACTCGGCCAATGCTCACCGCAGGCCCGCTTTAGCCTAGACCCAACCAATATGGCTTCAAAATGCACCCGTTTTCCCTATGCTACTCCTATGGGCGCGCCATCTCCAGTTCTATTTCTTAGCTCAGTGGCCCCAGCTCGTTCGAGAGAGGGAGACCCCAAGCACTCGGCCTCCCCTTCTCGAGACGTGGTATGTTAAAAGAACCCTCCGAACAAAACTCGATATGGGGGGGGGGTTAGTTAGTGTTCCAGGGTCAGGGCGCAATCATGGCCCTAGAGCAGGGGTAGACAAACATTTTAGCCTGCGGGCCTCACGAGAAAACACAAAAGCCTTCGCGGGCCAGAGTAGTTTCGCTTTCCTCCCGATCATCTTCAAGCTTGAAGCTGTCGCGCCTACAGATGATCCCTTTCCTGCCTTTTCGCTGTCAGGCGCCTGGATCGTTGGAACGAGCTTACAGCTCGTCTCGTCCACTATTTTCCTTAGCGAGTCGTCGTGCAAAGAAGGCTTTCGGGGTGAAGACGTCTTTCAACGTTTTATGCCCAAGATTTTCAATGCTGGGAGGTTTCATCGAAAGTTTTAAGAAATCTTTCTTTTGCAACATTCTTTCATCGTCTCGGCGAGAAAACTTTCTCGTACGGACGCGGCCCAACACTCGATCGTTCGAAAGGGGTATCAGACCGCGGGTCGCATTTCGTCGCTGCAGGGCAACAGCTGACAGGCCATTCGAAATGCTGCCAGGAGGCCATCATTTGCCCACCCCCGGCCTAGAGCCTCTTGCGCATCGTACTGCATCGCATCGTATCGTGCAAATGGAAGCTGCTCGAGCGGAAGCGAAAGACTACGAGATGGAAGTGCCCGCGTGCGCCAGCGACATCGTGTGGCGCCCTTAAGGAAACACGTTTCCTTCCGTCTCTACGAGATGGCGGGCCGGGTACACCGAGATCGTATCCGTGCCTTTCCTCCTCATCGTGCCGACTGGAAACGAGAAAATTCGCGGGAATTTGCGATGGTCGAGTGTCGTCGGTGGATGCAGTCGGGAAGAGGACATTGGAAGTGATCGACCGTGACCTTGACCTTGGCTAGGCCTGCTTTCACCCCTTTCACACGTGAAATTCGGCGAGCCCCTCCTTTTCACCCTTAAGAACGGAGAAGAGAATCCAGTACCATTTGAATTCCTAAGAGGTTTTAATCTGTGGATACTCTTCTTGGTATACGCTATACTAACTGTTTCGAGTTTTCTTCTTTTTTATTTTGCGCATATAAATCGTTAAAATGCGTTTTCCATCAAACTAACGAAAGATGATCGAAACCGATTGCCAAGCTCGTCCGTTAACCGTTCTGCCTCACAGAAGCAGCAGGCTCTCGAGCCAGTGCTGCAGTTAACTACTGACTCCATTGAACTTCTTCCTTTTGGCTGCAAGGATGGGTTTTAATCGAAGGTACGAAAGAGAACATGTGTTTTTTGTATCGTCGGTTTCCTCCTCAAAAACAGGGAAACGCGATCCACCGCCACACGCGCGAGCAAGTGATGTCAGAAGCGTTCCCTTCTGTCCCCACTCGACGCGAATGCGGCATCGATGGAACGAGAAGGAAACGAGAGCGAGACGAAAAGCCACGGCATCCCACGCGTCGTCGATGCCGGAAATTCTCGAGATCGCTCTCGCACGAGGGGATCCCTAATCTGGGGTCAGCGTTAGAGGCGTTATCGCTACTTCGCTCCGATGGCATCGCCTCCCTCGTGTTTATCATCACTGTCTCGTTCGGGAACGGAAATCGTCATAAAGTGATACTTGAAATTGCACGTATCACGCGTTACTTCCGTGTCGATGATGACGCTCACACCGATTCACGAATCGTAAAAATTGCGGAAGAGGAAATTCCGGAGTCATTCCATAGCATCTCGATGATGTTACGCTCTGATCGCGACGATTCTCGGTACCTTCACGATAACTTATCTTGCCGTGCATTCTACGGGGTGTTCCATTTAGGAGGAAACAGTGGGAAGTATGAGGGTGGTAACGTTGGTAACAATATGTAACGGCAGAGAATTTTTTTTTATCACGTTTCTTTCTATCCTCGACAAAATGCTTTTGAGGGTAGGTGCTACAGTTTGTCATCGATGCTAAAATGCATTAACTTAATCATTTGCAACGAGAGGATCGACGCACGAGAGATTAGAAAATGGCGGTACCACTGGAGACACGCGCCAAAATTGAGCGGAAAAATGTGATATGTTTTCTATGGTCCGAAGGTTTCCATGCCGTCGAAATTTCAGAAGAAATAGAGTAGAGCATCTAATATCTTTTACTTAGATTGAAAGCGGCCAAAAGTCGTGTTGGCTGTCATCCCTAACGCGCCAGGTCTACCATGCTGTGCCATTCTTGGCCAGAGGCTAGGCCATGCACGGCCTAAAGCGTCAGGCTAAGGCTCAGCCATTCTGGGCCATAGGCTAAGCCAGAAAAATTGAGAGGCCGAAAGCTGAGGCAAACAGTTCTCACTCATCCGCGGCCTAACATGCAAGGCCTACAAGGATTTAGGCTAGGCCAGCGGTTCTCAACCGGTGGGCCGTGACAAATGTCCGTAAATCTACAAACTGGAATTAACAACTAGGCAAACAAAAATTATGTAGCATTGAAGTCTGTAGTGGGCCGCGGATCGCTTTACAATTGTTAGAGTGTGCCTCGGGATCGAAAAGGTTGAGGACCATTGAGAACCATAAACACTTTGGTATCAGTTTTGCTACCAAATTCTGTGTTCTTAATTTCGATTTTCGGAATTATATTTGCCGTGATTTCTTCTACCAATCTTGCAAATATTTCAGATTTTTAAAATCATTTTTCTCATATTGATATTAAAAATAAGTTATTTTTCCTTATTTGTCGCTTTTCGGATTTGAAATTATCTTTTACATTCATGATTCATTCCTTCATTCGTGATTTATATATGAGGTGTGTTCTCGATGATAAAATCAGCTGTCGAAAAGGGAGAACGAATGATTCGTGCTCATATGCCCTATGCACTGTTCAAAGAATTGTTCTGAGAAAAATACTGACAATCCTCTCAACACCTCCTATACGTCTAATATCAAAAGTTTATCAATCGTATATATTTTCCTCGAATACACAAATCATACTTTCTCCCATTAGAAAACGGTAGAGCTTTTTTGTAATCACCATCGGTCACCCAGTCAACAACAGCGCCCTCTATCGTGATACAGCGCCATCTTGCGGAAGCGAAAAAACCTCTTAGACTCGTGAACCTCTCTGTCACGTATCAGATGGATCCAACTTCCCCTTGAAAAATTAAAGTTGAAAAGTTCATTGAATTTGAGACGGTCGAACACAGGTCATCACCTCACTTGAGGTGGAATGCTCCACCTCTAAGCACCTTTAATTGGCCTCTAAATGGGCATTGCATAATTTAGGCAGGGGTGCTGAAAAAGAGCTGGCAAGCATTTCAACACTTTGTAACTGTCAAATATCGATTGCGTATCCACTGTAATTTTTTTTGCTCAATTTCTGAAACTGTGTTTCTCCCATAGAAAACGGTAGAGCGTTTTTTTTTAACCACCCTATATATAGCCGATCGTGACTGACTGAGTGACTGACGCTGGTTCTAACCATGTTCTAGAGAAGTTAGAAATCTGAAACAATGTACAGAAGTAGCTACTGCGATGCAGAGTTCAGAAAACATCCGACTTTGGAGGTACATGCCCTGGGGGCACCCAATTTGGGGGGAGATGTTTCTAAAGATATGTATTTGCTTCAGTCAACCGAAGAGACATGGAAAGCTGAAACTTGATATCGACGTGCCTACTGAGACACTGAGTTCAGGAAAAATATAAAGTTTCAGAGGCATGCATATTTTTGAGAGATGACTTTTCAAATAATTACTTTTTGTCCTAGCGAATTGAGCTGAAATAGAAAGGTAAAACTTGATACATAAGTACCTATTGGGATGGTGACTTCAGAAAAATTTTGATTGTCCCTTCAGGCCTTTTAAAGAAATTTGAAGTTAGGCACACAATAAATAATCGGAGTAATTATTTCGATGAAAATATAGATTCGTCCTCTCTCGGCACATATTACGGCAGACAAATACTTTTAAGACGGTTTTGCCACGTTGAAAAAAAAAAAGAACGAATCACTGTCCTAGACAATGGAGCGCCGAAGGGCAAACTGGTATTGTGGGTTGTATAGCATAGTAACTGGACTTGTATAGTATAATTGTAAGTTTTTTTTCCATATGTTCCTACTTAAATGGGACACACACTAGAGGCATTGGGTGGACGCTAAAGGTGGTTTAAAGCTCCATTAAGCTAAAATCAGTTTCATGCAATCTACCCATTGCCTTTAGGAGAAATAATTCTGGAGTATTTTTCAAGACAAATGCATCTCTCGAAAATTGGGAGCGTCTGCTGCCGAAGTGAAATTCGTGCGGCCGCGATAGCTTCCTTCAACTTGAAAGTAGGCTCCAGGTTAGAAACTCTCTCTCTCGCGATAGCCATCTTTACAACTTCTTCGGTGCTTTCCTCTGTTCCGATACCACGGGCTATCGTGTGTCCCGTATTCCACGCTGCTTCCCCCTTCCAACGAGTTTCTCCGTTGTCTCCTTCCTAATGTTTAACCCTTTCTTTGGTCCGGAACTAAAAAAATATAATGATGTAAAAACGAAATTTCCTTACTCGACCGTCCACGATGAAACGTCATTAACCACAAAAGTACAAATTCCAAAGGAGGTCAGGGCCGTTTCTGGGGATGTTGGCGCCCAGGGCAAGCAGTTCCAATGGCGCCCCCCCCCCCCCCCCTTTCCCCCCCTGGCGCCCCCCCCCCCCCCTCC